AGACACATGTTAATTTGAAGAACACGTTTTAGTAGGGTGACTTATGGCAATGGGGTAGGAACAATTTGTGAACAATTTTCTCGAAAGCTTTGTGATCTTTTTCTCGATTTCCTCTTCATCAAAGCTCTTTTGACTTTTGACTCTCTGTACGATAGCAATTAAGTACCAGGAAAAAAACATCTGGGAACCAGTGGTGATGTCATGATAATGTACAGAATTAAATAATAGGAGATGAGGAACACCATGCTAATACCAATAATAGGAGCAGAGAAGTGAGAGCTGGTGGCCACCTGTCTTAACCCTTCACTGACTCACCTTAGAAATCATCTGCCCCATAGAGGGTTGGGATATCATAGTGTTCTGTTTTGGCTGGGGTATGGTGTGTGTGTGTGTTAAGTATAACATGATGCATTAACCATGGGGGAAGTCAAAATTGATGTTTTCTTGGCCGTGTTCTATGTGTACTAATAGTTTCCTTGTGCAAAGTGAACTTACTGTGCCTAAGTTTATTGTTTGTTTTTCATTCCATTTTTACTACCAGCAGATCCTCTCCAGATTTCACATTCCATGCCAGTGACATTATGCGGTTTGAAAGCACCCAAACTAATGTGCCCACTAACATATATGCCTCTAACCTATATGTCCCATAGACTGTCTAAAACAGTATACATATGCTAATGTCTAAATATAGAAAAGGTGCAGGAGTTAAAGGGAACAATTACTTGCTCATGACTGAATGAAAATATAAAGGAAAATTAGCAAATAGAATACATACAGTTATATAATTCATAAAAAAATGATTGATGTATGGGACAAGAATATACATAATATACAATGCGATGAGATATACTACTATACCCAGAAGGGAAACCTCATATGACATACACAGAATTGTTTGAAATAGTTTGATTTAAATGATGATGTAATGTGTTTAACTCCGTTTAGGATTTTGCCATCTCCAACAAATGTTTCTTCTTAATCCCTTCACTCCAAAAATTATGTGTATACATTCTTACTTCTAAGTGCATAGAAAAATTACATTTAGTTCAGAAAGCCTCACTCACTTCATTTATACTATAGGAATGATTACTAGCCAGTAGAGGAAAAAAGCTTGTTTTGCAATTTTTCCACTCATTAAATGTCTGCAAATGTTTGAAAATGTCAGCTCCCCTCCACCTTCTCAAAAGAAAAGGAAGTTTCAATGGGTGATACCATTCCTATATTTATGCATTTCATTACATTAGAATTCCACAAATTGATAAAGATTGCTATATCACTTTTTAAATTTATTAAATTACTTTTAATTATTTCAACTTTATTTTAGAAACATAGGAGTCAACTGTACTTATTGTGTGTGGACATTATGCTCAAATGCAGATAAGCCATCGGTGTCCTTACAAATACCTACAAGCAGAGTAGGTATATATCAAGTAATACCATCAAGGTTCTTAAAATACCTACAAGCAGGGCATTCAGCATTTTTATTTATCTAGTTTTCACATACCTACTGTAGATAAAGTATACTACATAATGTCTAAAGCCTTTAATTTCCACAATTGTAAAGAAAAAACAAATAAATTAAAAATAGAAATTGTGTAAATTTAAACAAGTTTATTTGAAAAGTATTTTATACACAAAATGTCTGTTTCAGTATACTTGCTATGCATACTAAATTTTGAATAAATGTTATACTAATATTTTTCAAACAAAAAGTGATTGGTAGTGAAAAGGTTAACTTCACATTTTCATGAAATTATAAAGAATTTCAGTTTATACGATGTGTTTCAATCATTTAAGAAAAATACAGTTTATTTAGGGATTGGTACAATTACAATATCTGCACATACTGTTTTCCTTTTTTCCTTTCTTTCCTTATATCTCATGTTCCTGAATGCTTTTTAGTTTTAATCGAAAATGTTCCTTCAACTATTATTCTTCTCTTTCTTCCTCTTTCTCTTTTCTTTTATGTTATTTTTTTTTCTCATTGTTAACCTTCAAAAAACTCAGTTTATACAATAAGAATCAAGTGCTTAAAATTGCATAACTGAGACTTTAGAAAAAGTCATTATTTGGTCCAGAGTTAATTTACACATTTACAAGACCTTTCTGCTAGGGTATGAAAAAAATCCTCTAATTTTCATCATCTAAGAAAAATCAGCAGATCTAGAGGGAAAAAGCAACTGGTCCCCTGAGCAATATTTGCATTATTTCATCTCACATAACCATAAAGTATGGGAGGTAACTCCTCGTTGGGCAGAATTAATTGCAACACTGCCATACACAAATTGTCAAGGGATCATCCTTTCTTTTTTATGCATGGCTTTCATTTTGAATTCATCCTCTCTTTTCTCTTTCTCCTAGCCATACATTTGTAATCCAAGATGTGGATTGACACATGTATAAATATCGGATGATGTGGAGTAAAACTGAAATCCTGAAGACCCAAATGGTGGAGCTGGACATTGTGATAAAATAAAGACACTATGAAAGCTTGCAAAGAGACACGTTTGATGATACATCACAAAATTACAAAACAAAGGTATGTATGTACTGTCAAGACTGTCAACCAACAATAGAGATAGGCAGGTCAAACAATTCTTTGCTCTCTTATCCCACATGTCTATATGGATGTCTGGGAAGCTTTACACAAAGCCTTCCAATTGAAATCTTGGTATCTGAAGGCACAATTTGGACTGTATACCGGGGAGTGCGATTTCTTCTCCTTTAGGAAACGTTCTGGTCAATGTGTCTGAAATGGATTTGAAATTATAGTAATTTTGATGATGCCCCTACTATTATACATTCTGTTTTGACTGTACTCTATGTATGGTTTTCTTATGTAACACTGCCTGTCTGTAATTAAGATACTGTAAAACCCCCCAAAATATACCCTGAGAATAAGGAAAGAAAACCAAAAGAAAAAAAAAAACCACACAGACTGACACATAGTTGCCTGACACCAACGTCGACTTCCCCCACTCCCTAACCACCTCACTCCCCCCGAAACAGAACCCTGTAAAGAAATCCTCTGCCCCTGACTGTAACCCCCCACCTCTCCCTTCCTTTTTTGCCAGTTACTCTCTGCCCAACTTCTCTCTCTCTCTTCAGATCTACTAATTCAACCACCCCCCACTATGACGACAGGCTTTCAGCCCACACCGCTACAGCTGTGGTCCCATAATTTCAGGGCCTTAACATACCCAAGAGGCGTCCCTACCCAACCTCCTCAGCATCTTTAGGGAATATGGTCAGTTGTCTAATCTCAAATTAAATATGGAAAAATCAGAAGCTCTCAATATCACGATACCTCCAGACCTGGAGTTGCACCCCCCGATACAATTACATTTCTCATGGTTATCTGGTTAATGGCAGATTTGTCCCAACTATATCAAATTATTTTTATACCTATCCTAAATACCCTTCAGAGAGACATGCACCATTGGACAGAACTATACATCTCTTGGTTCGGCCGCATCAACGCCGTAAAGATGAACGTCCTCCCTCGCCTCCTATACCTGTTTCAAATTATACCAATATTGATCCAGAGGGCATTCTTTCAGTCAATATCCAGGGCCATTAGAAGAATGGTGTGAAACCAAAGGCACCTAGGATTGGTAAATCACAACTAGAGCTACCCAAATCATTAGGAGGCATTGGCCTCCACTCGATACTTGGGTACTACCAGGTGGCCCATATTCTTTGGGTAAACAATTGGCATGCCCACCCGACTATGAAAATATGGGTAAACCTAGAGGAGCTACAAGCTACAGGCATAATTCATTCTCTACTATGTCAAGGCAAACTGACGCTCAGTACCCTACGAACAGGTAACCCTTTGATAGAGCCACACTTAAAGTCTGGTGCTCCGTTTGATACAAACAGCAGCTGACCACAACCCCCAGCCCCCTAACTCCCATCACACACAATCCTTACCTTGGCTGGTGCTTCACCCCAGCAGACCTCCGCACATTTCAACAGACCGATTGGTCCTACATAGGCCAGTGGTGTGAAGGTGACCACCTCAAATCCCTGACGGGGATGCTCCCTGACTCCACAGGATTAGACAGATATTGCTACTTCCAAATTAAGACTTTCTACAAGACTGCCACAGGTAAACAACTTTTTCATAGAGACCTCACACAATTTCAAGCGCTCTGCACAAACAGAAAGCACACAACTAGAGGTATCTCGCTGCTGTCCGCCATGCTGCTAAACAACGATAACAGACCCCCCTAGGTTTACAGTGAAATGGGAGAGTGAGACAGGTGAAACACTAAATGAGCAAGAATGGGATAAAATCTACATCTTTACACACAAGTTCTCCATAAGCTCGAATTTCTAAGAACTGAGCTACAAGCTACTCTCCCACTGGTACAGGACCCCACACACACTACACTGCATACACACTGACACCCCCGATACCTGTTGGAGATGCGGCTCGGAGATTGGCACCATGATCCATTTATGGTGGACCTGCCCAGTCATAGTCCCATACTGGGAGATGGTGATCACAGACTCTGACTTGCCACTCCAGCCGCTTCCCATGTTACTGCACCACACACACATGACCCTTAAGGCCTACAAGAAGTACCTTACTAAACATTTACTAACGGCTGCAAAAGCCCCCATCCCGACACTCTGGAAGCAGACGGGTGTGCCATCCTTCCAGCAATGGGTTGACCATGTGGGAGAGATTTACCATGTGGGAGAGATGGAATCACTGACAGCAGCCCTGCAGGGGTGCACAGAAAGTAATACAAAGACCCGGACTCCATTGCTGACATATATCTCAGCAGACAGTGCAAACGATTAAGCCCTAAACAGATTAGCGGAGGGTATTAGCGGAGGTCCTTCCCACCCCCTCCTTTTTTTGTCTTTTCTTTTCTTCTTCTCTCTTCCCTACACACCCACCCCTGACTAGACTTGACAGATTTTGTTAACCATTTCTCACCAAGACAAACTTCATGACCCTACTAGTTAAAGGCTCAGTAACATCAGACCTAGTCAACACCCATATAGGGCACTTTCGGGTTAACAGACATACCAGTCCATGAACAGAGACAGATCTAAAAACATAGAAGCACTACTACTGAAAAAATGTTTACCAATGCTTTATTCCCATAGTCATTGGAGTTATGATTATCTGAATGGTTAATGCCTTTTATGTACTCAACAATGTTACATGTTCACTGCTGAATCAATCTGTCTGGCCTTTATAAATGACAAATAAAATTAAAGATTGTTAAAAAAACAACAACAACAGAAAACAAAAACATGGCAGCGTCTCTTTAAATTGCCTGTAAAACTGCATCCACGTGGCAGTAGAGGAGTATATTATAATCCAGGGTAATTAATCAATAACATTTTCTGATTTTGTACCAGAATCACACAACAATTATCATAGTGACCACAAACCAAATTTTATGAACTGCTTTTCTACCAGTAACAGAGCTGAAGTCATGAAGGTTTATCTTCTTCCAAGTGGACCTAAACCATCATCTGAATGTTGAGTTTGACAGACTGTTATCATGAGCTTAAAGGACCACTATAGTGCCAGGAAAACATACTCGTTTTCCTGGCACTATAGTGCCCTGAGGGTGCCCCCACCCTCAGGGACCCCCTCCCGCCCGGCTCTGGAAAGGGGAAAGGGGAAAGGGGTAAAAACTTACCTTTTTCCAGCACTTGGCGGAGAGCTCTCCTCCTTCTCTCCTCCTCCGTTCCTCCCTGCCGGCTGAATGCGCACGCACGGCAAAAGCTGCGCGCGCATTCAGCCGGTCGCATAGGAAAGCATTTACAATGCTTTCCTATGGACGCTGGCGTGCTCACACTGTGAAAATCACAGTGAGAAGCACGCAAGCGCCTCTAGTGGCTGTCAATGAGACAGCCACTAGAGGATTAGGGGGAAGGCTTAACCCATTAATAAACATAGCAGTTTCTCTGAAACTGCTATGTTTATTAAAAAATGGGTTAACCCTAGCTGGACCTGGCACCCAGACCACTTCATTAAGCTGAAGTGGTCTGGGTGCCTAGAGTGGTGCTTTAATAAGAAATAAAATGCACCTTTGCAGCGTGATGCAGCTGTGTATATTCTAGGCCTGCTACCTGTCGGGCGAGTGCTGCATGTTGCTGTGTGAGCTGCTGGGTGAGTAGGGCAGCATCGAGGTGAGTTTGGCGGGCTGTCACGGCTTCATCTTCGACTGACTTTATGTGGCCAGAGAGGGTATGCATGTCCTCCCGGATCAGTGCGCAGTCTGTTTGGAACATGGTACGTAGATCCTGCAGGAGATGTTTAAGGTCATCCTTGGTAGTTGGGGCGCTATCTGCGTCCACCTCTGTAGCTCCTCTCTCCTTCTTAGCCACGGAGGCCCTGGCTTCTAGGATGTGGTCTGGAGCATCATACTCCAACTCACCCGAGGAGCAGGAAGGCGATCTTTGCAGCGGGGCCGCCATCTTGGGTTGCGGCCTAGTGCGGAGCAGATCCCAGATATCACGGGATCCCTCGCTCCGTTCTTGCCGGGACTTGAGGGTCTTTTTCTCCATGCTGGCCGGAGGTGGAAGGTATCGACCTCAGAGTGTGCTCAAAGCGGCTTTTCTCCCGGAGCTCGTCTGAGATGCAACTTGGCGTGATGGCTGCTAGCTCCCCACTCCTCACATTTTTGTAAATATTTTATTATATTTTTTTCATGTGACAACACTGAAGAAATGACACTCTGCTACAATGTAAAGTAGTAAGCAGCCTGTATAACAGTGTAAATTACTCAACACTCAGCCATTAATGTCTAAACCATTGGCAACAAAAGTGAGTACAACACTAAGTGGAAATGTCCAAATTGGGCCCAATTAGCCATTTTTCCTCCCTGGTGTCATGTGACTCATTAGCGTTACAAGGTCTCAGGTGTGAATGGGGAGCAGGTGTGTTAAATTTGGTGTTATCACTCTCACACTCTCTCATACTGTTGTTGCTCTACAGAAAGATGGTCTAGGCTCAGGACCGACACTTCCTATAAGGTGAACTAGGCAGCCACCTAGGGCGCCATATAGGAAGGGGCGCCCTGCGCCCTCATCACTGGCCCTTTAAACGCTGCTTCCGCCTGAGCGCTCTATAGAGAGTGTTAAGGCGGCTGCCGCACTGCCTCTCTCCTCAACTCCCCTTCCCTGTAGCGTGGCCGAGCTCCTCTCCGGTCCGCGACCGGGCCAGACTGATAGGAAGTGCACACTCAGTGTGCACTTCCTGTCAGTCCGGCGGGTACACAGAAACTCCTGTACCCAGAGGAGGAGCTTGGCCATGCTACAGGGAAGGGAGGAGAACAAACGGGGAATAAGGAGAATACGGGGGGATTATGGAGGAGAAGGGGAATAAGGAGAATAATGAGGGGAATAAGGGAGAATACTGAGGATAAGGAGGATAAGGAGAATACAGAGGGGAATAAGGGGGAATACATGAATAGAGAATACAGAGGGGGGAATAAGGAGAATACAGAGAGGGGGTAATAAGGAGAACACAGGGAGAGGGGGAGTAAAGTGAACACAGGGAGGAGGGGGTGAGTAAGGAGAACACAGGGAGAGGGAGGTGAGTAAGGAGAACACGGGGGGTAAGAACACAGGGATTTGGGGGTGAGGAGAACAATGGGAGGGGGGGAGAGGAGAGACCACTAAGGGACAGAAGGGAGAGCTCTTTCACACTACGTGCATACACACACACAATGCATCCCTATACATGCACAGGAACACACAATGCATCCCTGCACACACATGCAAACACACACTGCTTCTCTTATATACACACAGAAACACAATGCTTCTCTTACACTCAATGCACCCCTTAGACACACACTGCAATCCTTACATACACAGAAACACACCTTGCATCCCTTATGCATACAAACACAGATTCACACAATGCATCCCTTACACACAACCAGAAACACACAATATATCCCTTATACACAAACACACACTGCTTTCTATCCCTTATAAAAAAAAAACACACTGCATCCCTATACACTACATTCCATAAGCACACACATTAGATCCTCTACAATAACACCCCTACACACTCCACTCCCTGTGAGCGAACTCATGGGTGGAACATATAGGTGGACTCATGGGTGGGCCTTATGGGCATACTCACAGTCAGGCCCTGGGGCCCAGACCTTGAGCTGTGTAATGGGCACCAAAAAGCTGGAGCTGCTTCCCATTCCCCCAGAACATTGATTTTTGTGACCACAGTTACAAACAGCCTCCAGGGATCCTGATCTACACCAGACCAGTGGAGCCAAACTCCAGCCAGCGCCCATCACCATCCTCATCTGGTTGTAAGTAGGCAATCTAGTATATTATTAGTGACACTAATCTCTAATTTACCTCACATTAAAGGGACACTATAGTCCCCAGAACCACTACAGCTTAATGTAGTGGTTCTGGTGTCTATAGCCTGTCCCTGAAGTCTTTTTAATGTAAACACACACTGTGTGCAGCACTGGCGTTAGTTCCTATGGTAGATCATATGGGTGGGGCATTGTGATGTCACATGTGGGGGCGACAAATTTATTTTTTGTCCAGGGCGGCAAAAATCCTTGCATGTCATTATCAATGTGTGTATGGATGTCAGTGTCAGCATGCATGTAGGAACAAATTGCAAGCTCTATCTATGACATCACTGTGCTATATAAACAGATTGCAAGCTATCTCTATTACATCACTGCTATATAAACAGATTGCAAGCTATATCTATAACATCACTGTGCTCTATAAACAGATTGCAAGCTCTGTGACATCACTGTGCTATATAAACAGTTCTATTACATCACTGTACTATATAAACAGTTTGTGAGCTCTATCTATGACATCACTGTGCTATATAAACAGATTGCAAGCTCTATCTATGACATCACTGTGCTATATAAAAAGATTGCAAGCTCTATCTATGACATCACTGTGCTATATAAAAAGATTGCAAGCTCTATCTATGACATCACTGTGCTACATAAAATATTGCAAACTCTATCTATTACATCACAGTGCTGTATAAACAGTTTGCGAGCTCTATCTATGACATCACTGTGCTATATAAACAGTTTGCAAGCTCTATTTATTACATCACTGCTATAGGAACAAATTGCAAGCTCTATCTATGACATCACTGTGCTATATAAACAGATTGCAAGCTCTATGGCATCACTGTGCTATATAAACAGATTACAAGCTGTATTACATCACTGTGCTATATAAATAGATTGCAAGCTGTGTGGCATCACTGTGCTATATAAACAAATTACAAGCTCTATCTATGACATCACTATACTATATAAACAGATTACAACCTATGTGTATGTATGTCTGTAAGTCATTATGAATGTATGTCTGTCAGTATGTATGTCTGCATGTCATTATGAATGTGTGTATGGATGTCAGTGTCAGTATCCATGTATGTCTGTCTGTATGCCAGTATCAATGTATGGATGGATGTCAGTATCAATGTATGGATGTCAGTGTCTATGCATGTCAGTGTCTGTATGTCATTATGAATGTATGTCTGTCAGTATGTATGCATGTATGTCTGTCAGTATGTAAGTCTGCATGTCATTATGAATGTGTGTATGAATGTATGTCTGTCAGTGTCTGTATGCATGTATATATGTATGAATGTATGTACGTCTTTATGTCATTATAAATGTATGTACAGGGAGTGCAGAATTATTAGGCAAATGAGTATTTTGACCATATCATCCTCTTTATGCATGTTGTCTTACTCCAAGCTGTATAGGCTCGAAAGCCTACTACCAATTAAGCATATTAGGTGATGTGCATCTCTGTAATGAGAAGGGGTGTGGTCTAATGACATCAACACCCTATATCAGGTGTGTATAATTATTAGGCAACTTCCTTTCCTTTGGCAAAATGGGTCAAAAGAAGGACTTGACAGGCTCAGAAAAGTCAAAAATAGTGAGATATCTTGCAGAGGGATGCAGCACTCTTAAAATTGCAAAGCTTCTGAAGCGTGATCATCGAACAATCAAGCGTTTCATTCAAAATAGTCAACAGGGTCGCAAGAAGCGTGTGGAAAAACCAAGGCGCAAAATAACTGCCCATGAACTGAGAAAAGTCAAGCGTGCAGCTGCCACGATGCCACTTGCCACCAGTTTGGCCATATTTCAGAGCTGCAACATCACTGGAGTGCCCAAAAGCACAAGGTGTGCAATACTCAGAGACATGGCCAAGGTAAGAAAGGCTGAAAGACGACCACCACTGAACAAGACACACAAGCTGAAACGTCAAGACTGGGCCAAGAAATATCTCAAGACTGATTTTTCTAAGGTTTTATGGACTGATGAAATGAGAGTGAGTCTTGATGGGCCAGATGGATGGGCCCGTGGCTGGATTGGTAAAGGGCAGAGAGCTCCAGTCCGACTCAGACGCCAGCAAGGTGGAGGTGGAGTACTGGTTTGGGCTGGCATCATCAAAGATGAGCTTGTGGGGCCTTTTCGGGTTGAGGATGGAGTCAAGCTCAACTCCCAGTCCTACTGCCAGTTCCTGGAAGACACCTTCTTCAAGCAGTGGTACAGGAAGAAGTCTGCATCCTTCAAGAAAAACATGATTTTCATGCAGAACAATGCTCCATCACACGCGTCCAAGTACTCCACAGCGTGGCTGGCAAGAAAGGGTATAAAAGAAGAAAATCTAATGACATGGCCTCCTTGTTCACCTGATCTGAACCCCATTGAGAACCTGTGGTCCATCATCAAATGTGAGATTTACAAGGAGGGAAAACAGTACACCTCTCTGAACAGTGTCTGGGAGGCTGTGGTTGCTGCTGCACGCAATGTTGATGGTGAACAGATCAAAACACTGACAGAATCCATGGATGGCAGGCTTTTGAGTGTCCTTGCAAAGAAAGGTGGCTATATTGGTCACTGATTTGTTTTTGTTTTGTTTTGAATGTCAGAAATGTATATTTGTGAATGTTGAGATGTTATATTGGTTTCACTGGTAATAATAAATAATTGAAATGGGTATATATTTGTTTTTGTTAAGTTGCCTAATAATTATGCACAGTAATAGTCACCTGCACACACAGATATCCCCCTAACATAGCTAAAACTAAAACAAACTAAAAACTACTTCCAAAAATATTCAGCTTTGATATTAATGAGTTTTTTGGGTTCATTGAGAACATGGTTGTTGTTCAATAATAAAATTAATCCTCAAAAATACAACTTGCCTAATAATTCTGCACTCCCTGTATGTGTCTGCATGTCCTTATGCATGTGTGTCTGTATGTATGTTAGTATGTGTCTGCCTGTCACTATGTATGCCTGTGTGTATGTCTCAGCATGTGTGTGTCAGTATGTATGCCTATATGTCTGTTTCAGTATGTGTGTCTGTTAGTATGTATCTGTGTGTGTGTGTGCGTTTGTATCAGTGCGTTTGTGTCTGTGTGTATATTCCTGTGGGCGGGATTTGAAGGTAGACCCCTGGGGGCCCAGACCCTGAGTTAGGGGCCCCAAAATTTCTGGTGGCGGCCCTGTTGCCAAGACCCT